ATTTAAGGGGTAGTTATATAATAATTTTGGACGATCTCGGGCGGTCGGATACTTATGACCGCTACTGTATTATTTATTTATATTTTATAAAATTTATAACTTTAAAATTCATTTTCCAAAAAAATTATAAAGTAGATAAATAAATAAATGAAATCCATGGCTACCAGAAAAGACCTATAATTATTTGTTAACAATGAATTATATCAATATGATCCTTAAATCATATTACAAATCATATGATTTACTATGTTTATAATTCATTTAATATTATAAATAAATGTTTAATTTCAATAAAATATGTAAATATATAACATGAATAAAATAGAAACTTCTATAGAACTAACAAAACTTTTAATATTACTTAAAACTGAACTGTTTAGCATATTAAAAAAACCGAACTTTTCTTTTTATATCATTAATATTTATATTTATGGTTACACTCTTACCAATACGGTGGAAGAAAGGTTATATTATTTGACCTAAATAATTGATAAGGTGTAGGGTAATTTTGACGTCGGGATCTTTTTCGAGATTATCTGCCAACTAACTATATGCACTTCGTTGAATAAGATACTTTAATAAAGTTGGGTAATTAAATAACGGACCTTTAAATGTGGGTGATTTGATTGTAATTCTAAGTTCCCTTAATTTTTTCTATTTAAATATTGTAAATAGTGTCAATAACCATTTGAAAAGGGGATCTTCCAAAGTATGGGAATTGCAACCCGACATAAATGTCGATTGACTAAAATGCACTAATGAAGTCATTTCGTAAGTTTTTTATAATAATATTTGGAACATGCCATATCGTCTGAAAGTAGGGGAAAAGATTTTATTGATAATTATATCATTTTAGTTTCACTACAATGATCGTATTAGGTAATAATCAAACATGGTTTCTTTCACGTGATAAAATTTAACTAATATATGAGACAAATTTCCTAGCTACCTAATACTAATTTAATACTAATAATAATCCTAATCCTAACCATAACGACAACATAACTAATCTAATGCTAGATATCCGGCAATTAAATCCGGCTACCATTTTTTCTAGGCTACGTAGGGTCGTTTGATATCATGTGATTCAAAATATTTCTTGGGACAACCATATGGAAAATTATCCGAAATGATACATTTGTTTAATGTATTTTTTTACGAATGAAATTTTTATGCGCAGTTCTACAAGTAGGGTGGATTTAAAACTCGCAATAAAACATACTATTTGTTTACAAATTAAGTCATCAAGTAAATAAAAAAAGTTATTATTTTTTTTATAAGAAAATTTTCAAATGATTTTCCAGGAAAAAAAAAAAAATAAAATAATTGTTACGGTTTAAAAAAAAAAAAAAACCAATTAATTAATCAAAAATACTAATACATTGGACGTATCACGTGAGTATTATGTCCTCGAGTGGTAGTTAATAGTTTAATATACTGAATGAAGAAAGAATAAGTGAAAGAATGATGTTTAAAGTGTTAAGCGTTTATGTTTATCCTCTTTTTGTCTAATGACATTGGTTAAGATATAGAAATTTCACAAGGTTTTATCATTCCTGGTCCGCAGATTATGTAAAGTTATATTTGGTGGTAAACTAGACTGGTATTTCGAACATTTTTCTAATATTAATGAAATAACTTGAAATAATTCTTGATTGTAGAATTTTATTTCAAATATACTAGAGATAACTCTATACTTCGATACAGAATTGCGTCGGTTACTGCGGTTAACTTTCAACATCGCATAAAGAAATGTAATATTTTAATATTATTTATATTCTTGTATAATAGGATTCTAACAATTACAGTGCTTTTATTGAAGTTTTAGATAGCTGATAAATAAATCATACCGATAATTCAAACTTAAATTACTACATAGATTTTATACAATAAATCATATTATAAAAACAATTTTTACGAAATTGTTCCGATGCCGCTGTAATTTGGCGTTTCATACAAAATCAAAATAATAATTATAACCCTCCTGTTAAAATGTAACGTAAAAACTAAATAAATTAAATGAATGATTATATTACAGTAGCTGTTAAAGAGTTCACATAAAAAATTTCAAATGCTGATTTTTCGACAGCTGACAATCGAAAAATATTATCTTATTTTCATGATCGAGAAAGCGGTCATACAAGTAAACAAATAAATACAATAATAGAAATTTTACAATGTGCAACGGCGTTAAAGTTCAATAAAATCGCATGCAGTATCTGATACACAACCTATGATACGACGTGGCACGGATGATATGATAATAGTTATATAATAAACGAAATCTCAACGTTTCTCGTTCTCGAAATATCTTCAACTTACCAAATGATTTCCTTTCGCTTGCCAGAACTACCTTCAGATTATTTAGAACCTTCTGTAACCAATGAATCTCATGATACCATCATAGAAATCAATGATCGAGCGTCCGGTGATATCAAGATTTTCGATGCGCATTCGAGCGTGCTTTGCAGAAGATGCGAATACTTCAAGGTCGCTTTATCGGAAAATTGGGCAAGAAAAGTTGATGATAAGTTTAGACTAAGTTTGGAAGTTTCATCCGAAGCGTTTAAAATAATATTAAGGTAAAGTTCGTTCGCGTATGATTTGATTCTCTTTCTTCTTTTTTTTTCTTTAATTATAACTCTGGTGATTTTGGAATTCTCAGAGGAATTTGTAGCGGAACGATTAATTTGAAAAAAACGAACACGAGTATTTTGATGGAGTTAATGCTGGCATCTGATATTCTTCTCCTCCATGAATTTTTCAACTATTTAAGATCCAAATTAGATGAAAAAAGGAATGAAAAATAGGAATGGTGTGATGAAGATATTGTTTCTATATTACTAATTTCTTATCGAATTCCATCCGCTCAAGATCTCTATTTATACTGCCAAGATCAATTTGTTGAGAGACCGATGATTTTATTTGGGTCTCCGGAGTTTCTATCGATTGATGAGGAATTATTGTTACGTTAGACGTGATTTTCTTGCCAGAGATAATGTTATTTAATAAATTAATTGAGTGGGGTATTGCAAACACCCCCGATTCATATCACATCGATGATTTGGGAGTTACTATAAAGGATGGGTTGCGGTTGATTCGATTTTATAACATGAGTATAGAAGAAAGAAATGCAACTCTCAAATTTGAAAACATATTGCCATCACTGGAAGTTCAATTTCAAACCCCGCCTCGCATCAATTCACCTGTTGAACCAAAGATTCTGAGTAGTAGATTTATCGGATTAATTGCGACATGGATTGACAGAAAGGATCCCAAGAAAGATTCATACACCGGATATAATCATCCATTCGAAATTAGACACAAATTTCGTATGAACGATCGGACGACCTTTTATGAAGAACATCACAACTACTACAATAAATCTTCAAATAGAATCTTATCAACAATGAAATGTCACCACGGACCTTCACTGATGATAATGAAACTTAAAATTTCAGGAAAAATAATTGGTGCTTACAATCCCGTTGATTGGAAGGGGGATCTAACAAAGAAAGCGAATGCCTGTGCAACCGAAAGCTTTATCTTTTCTTGTGATGATAGGTATGGAACGAACATTCGGTTTAGCAGAGTTCGTGACTTTGAACACGCAATGTGTTTAAAGAACGTGAAACCCAGTGGCATATTATTAAAATTTGGTGAAGATTTAACATTTGAATATTTGTATAAAACTGTCAGTTGTTATATTAAAAACGAATCTTATGAGTCAACAATATTAGAAGAGGGTAGGTATGGAATTGAAAGTTGGGACATTTATAGAGTCAGAAGAAAAGATGGTGATCCATCAATGGTAATCAATGAAGAAATTATAAAAGAAAATCAAAATCAACCTCGCATACGATTTCCCATAGAAACAAAGATTATTGATGGCGATTTTTTTGGATTGATCGCGACATGGATCGACAAAAAAGATCCAATGAACGTTCGATACACTGATTCTAACATGCCTTTCCAATTTACGCCCTTATTTCGCATGAACGATAATACAACTTTTTATGATGAACATAAAAAATATTATAATCAATCTACGGATAGTTTATTACCAACAATGAAATGCCACCACGGACCTTCATTGATGATAATGAAACTTAAAAACTCGGGAAAAATAATTGGAGCCTATAATCCCATCAATTGGAAAAAAATCTTTTGAACTTTGTGATTATGAAACTACAAGAGAAAGCTTTATCTTTTCAAGCGAAGATATACATGGAACAAATCATCGATTGAGCCGAGTTACACGATATCATCGAGCAATTTGGGCGGAAAAGTTATACTCTAATACTTTTTCAAAATCCGATGTACCCAACGGTGTGATGCTAAAGTTTGGTGGTTTGAGATTTGTTTATCACGACAGATCTGATTCTGTCTTATGTAGAATTAGTCAAAACGAAGATTATGAGCAACCAGCCATAACATCGGTAGGCGATTACAAGATTCAAGAATGGGAAATTTTTAGAGTCACTAGATTCGATAATCAAATTCCATCTCGCATTGATTCACCCATTACTCAAATATTAATTGATGACGAATTTGTAGCATTAATTTCGTCATGGATTGATGATATAGATATGGAAGATCCATATACTGAATTTGACATGCCATTTCAGTTTAAACTTTTATTTAGCATGAACGAACGTACAATTTCTCACGATAAATATTATAATCAATCAGCGTACAAAATGTTACCAACGATGAAATGTCACCATGGGGCTTCACTAATGACAATGAGGATTAAAGGTTCTGGACAAATAATTGGTGCCTATAATCCTATCAATTGGAAGAAAGAATTACCAAATTGTAATAATCAATATGTTTACACATCAGAAAGTTTTATTTTCTCAAGTAAAGATGTATATGGAACAGATCCTCAATTAAGAAGAGTTAAAGATTCTGATAAAGCGATTTCTCAAGTAAATGTATATCCCAGCGGCATTCTTTTGAAATTTGGTGAGGATTTAAGCTTTATTTATGATCATGGAAATTTACATATCGAAGAACCAGATTATGGAGATGAAAACTATGCTAGATTTCCTTATGTTATGTGTGACGTCAAGGAAAATGGATTTTATGAACAACCAACTATACTACCTGAAGGTAGATATGTGATTGATCAATGGGAAGTATTCAGAGTTATTAGAACTGAGGACTCATATTAGAAATTTTTAAATGCAGTTGCCAGTAACTTATTAAATTTGAGAAAAAAATAAATCTATCTAAAAGTCTTATTTATTTATTTATAATACTATCGATTAAATTCTTCAAAATTTTTTTACATTATGTATTCGAGCATTATTTATAAATAATATTTTTTTTTTTTTTATAAGATGGCAACGTTATGAAATAATTTGTTTTAATAATTACAAATTTAAGAAATAATGAATTTTAAAATGTAAAATAAAATTATGAGCACTACATAAAAGAGTTGCTGTTTTTTTCGTCTCAACCCCCCATATAAACAAAAAAAAATATAAGTTTATTGTTTATCTGATAAGTTTAAAGTTTTTTTTTTTTTTTACACGTTAAAGTATTTTATTAATTAAATAAATATGTAAGAATACTGCGACAGAAGAAAATTTTTTTGATTTCTTTTATAACTTTTTTTTTTTTTTTTTTGAAAAATTTATTTAAATGTTCTGTTTAACTTGTTAAAATTCTTTATATATCTACAACGAAAAAAAAATATTATTCAAAAAAAGACGTATTGCAAAACAAATTTCAGTATCTCGCAAAAAAAGTCCAAATTTAGTCGGATTAATAAATAAAAATTTATCTATAGTTTTTTAAGATGCCGCCTCCGACGACGTTATTTATTTCTGAAATCAATAAACATTGTTTTCAATAAGGCCACGCACATTAGCATTTTCGGTTCACGAAAAAAAGTTTTATATGTAAAATTTTATCTCGTGATTTCGAAATATAATGCTGTTGTATTCAATTCATTCGTTTATGTATTTATATACAATTTTAAATGTAAGCAGAAGGGTTTTCAATTAAATATTTATGATGTAAATGTTATTCAATAATCAGTGTTGTCTCAACATTGACGTTCCTTAAATAAATGCTAATCACTAAAGGCTAATTAAAACTACGCAAAATATTAATAAAAACAAATAAAAAAATATTAAAACAACGAAATTAAACGAATTTACAGCATAAAATTATGAAGTTAATATCGCAAGGAAAATATTATAGTCGAAATTGATCTTCAAAGACCAAACTAACCAAGGCGAAATTAATGATTTTTTCGGGATGAATTATATCCAATGTAACAATACGAATTTTTATGTATTAACACTTTATTGACTTACTGATTTTTTGTCTTTTCTTTGTATCGTCTTTTTTTTTATCTCTAACTGATACATTACAGTATTCACAATAACTCCTTAAAAACCAACCAATCACATCGTTACGATTTACATATAAAATTTTTTTATAAACAATAATTTTAAAATTTTAATGTTATTTGAACCGAATATGTTAATGTGCGTGGCTAATAATCGACGTTACGTATAATAATATTCCCATGTAATAAAGTTATTTTTACTATTTTCGTTTACGTTGTTTGTTAAGCATAAACTGTACGTCGTTAGGTTAAAATTCTTATTTTCTAATTGGGAGTTTAAGTATATTAAACTATGAAAGAAATAAACACAAGTTAATTAATTGAAGGATCGGTTCGTCTTTATTGAGATTTATTTATGAAGAAAGAAATGTGGTTAAGAGAAAATACAAATTTATGGTTAAAGATATTTATTATTTGAATACAGTCGTCCCCCTCTATAATCACACCCTTCGGGACCAAATAAAATGTGCTTTAAGGGAGGGAGTGCTTATATCGGGGGTGACTATAGAGGGGGACGACTGTAATTGTTATCGACTCTGCCTTTTTACTGAGGCAAAGATACAGGATATTTATATAAATTACAAGAATAATAAAGTGATAATAAATATAATAAATAAAATAAATATAAATATGAAAATTAATATGATACAGATATAAAATATATTAAGGAAAACTATGATAATGGTGATGTCAGTGATATTCGTGATCACAGTGATTTCTATTTTCTCAAAGATCACTCATGGTATGGCACAGTACGCTTGTGACATCAATGGTCCATCAATAACAACGTTTTGTTCCAATTTCTATATCCATCCAATTTTAAGGCAAAAGCTTGTACATGCTGGAAGTTTGTTTATTTGTTCAGTCGTTCCGCAGAAACACTTGTTGTTTTTATGCCAATTAATTTCGAGCAATCTTGTAGTCAAATAAAGTCATCTGTTTATTTGGGGTCGAAATAATTATTCACAAAATATGTGGTTCATTGATAGATGATATTGAATTCAAATCCTTACATTTCAACATGAATTAAAAAAATTTTTTTCTTCGCTTAGTACTTTTTTTTTTAAAAAAAAAAAATCGGCGGAATATTAACTAAGGCGGACTTCCAGATGACAGCTTAGTTAATCTTCTAGAGTCATGCATTTCGAAGCATAATATTAAATATCGCAACTTTACAAACGCCATTACTCACTATAGTAGAATACAGTATATATATAATTATTTAAAATGATTGACTATGCTGAAAATAATCCATAATGTATCATTTAAAATGAATAAAGTAATTAAAGTAGAATACAAAAAAAAACAAATATATAAAAATATAATCGATCCTGTACGTTGTTCATGTCCATATTCATGGAGAATTATCATGTTGAAATGACTTGTTTAAACGAATTTCCAGCTTTATTCAAAGTATCTCAGAAAAAAATTTTTTTCTTGCCTTGACAAAATAGATTACTAAAGTGTGTTGTGTGAATCGAAAACTGTCGAAACCCACCAAAATCGAAAGGTTTTGACTTTAGTAAAAATGGGATTTGGGATTTTCCCGCAACCTTAGTACAAGCTCTATACATGTAGAATAAATTATCTGAAATTTCTTTTATATTTTTTAAAGTCGCATAACTAAAACATGAAATCTGCCCTTCTAAGTGAACTTGTATATTTATTGAATTCTTCTTTATTTTGTTATAAATTGATTAAACCTTTTTTGATATTATAATTAAATTTCAGGTGGACATAGGCAACAATAAAGTAACACGCGATATCTTGTTTCAATTGCTACAGTACTTCTATATTGTGATAGATTTAAGTTTGTATCATTAGTGATTAGACCGGGTCGTGTACAATCGGATGACCCACAGGTGGGTCAGATATCTAGGTCAAGGTCGTAAAACCCGGGTAGTTGAAGGTTGGTAACCCGTCGTTATCAATTTTTAATTTCGTAATTTGGATTGATTTTTAAATCATTGAATCTATATGATTCATTATTAAGTTAAGTTAAATTTCACTTCCACGTGACCGGTGATAAATAAAAACCAATTTTTTTTTCATCACCAAAAAATTCTCTGAGGGTGACACGGAGAGACAAATATCGGGATGAAAAAATTTTCTGGCGAAGATCGTGTTTTTCCAATCACTATTCCAAATACAAGACTTCATTTCCTCTTCTCCAGATCAAACCAGCGTGAAAGAGTCATTACATAATTCTAATTCTTTGTAATTGTTGGTTATGAGAATTTATTAAGACTATTTTCTTTCCTTCAATAAACTAATTTTATTTTTGCGATGTAAATGTGTACCTTAATGAAAATTGTATTGATTGGCTTTTGCAATTACACAAAAATCTAGATAAAAGCAATTCTAGTGGATCGTTCCGGACTTAATAACGGTTCCCGTTTCCTAGTATAATAAATAAAATGAAAAATCTTTACTAAGATATTATGAATGGATCCCTAGACCAGTAGGTATAAGATCACTATAAATCTCAAAAAAGTAGTCCGATCCCTCACTTTTGCCCACATACCTTTGTAATTTTATTAAATTTAAAATAAAAGAGAACTATAACAATGATGATAAATTATGTTTTGCACCAAAATCAGTCAATTTAAAAATTCCTTATAAAAATTTATAAAGAAATATTTCGTCTGCCATTACAATCTAACATGAGACAGTAAATCATATGCTCCATAACAAGATTATAATAACAAATTTTCCATATTTAAAATTAATGATTTTCTGATGACCTGCGAGAGAGGACTCACCTTGAATTTCCCTAAGTTGAAATGTTGATGATACTATACAAAAACTAAAATATGCAAATATAAGTTCTTTCATTACAATCAATAAAAATTGGAGAAAATGGATTGCTAATAAACGAGAAGTGCTGATGGATCTTCCACATGACCTAGTTCAGAACTGATTGTATCTAACTTTTAATTCAGGTAGAAAGTTAAATACGGTGTCCATACATCCGTGTAAACCAAGTAATTTTCATGGGCACTTTTAGAAAAATAATTCATAAATGTATGTAATCTTCTTGAAAAACCAATATATTATGAACAATTGAATTATTATTAATGCGACAAATATAAGATTGCATCGCCACTAGGGATGCTAATGGTACGTGATTTAACAGACTGGCTTGACTTGATTTTGAGATTTTGACTGGCTGAACAACCATTTTTCATTAGTAAAGAAGTCTTTGTATTTAAATTATCATCGTTCAATAATATATTTTTTATTTATTTATATATATAAATTGAAATTATGAAATATTGCAAAAGTTCACGATAATTTTTTGTCACTAAATATACTTAATAATCAAGCATAAAAAAAAATATATTACATAGAGAAATTTTAAAAATGTTATGCCAAAAATTAATATTATAATATTTAACTTTCTAATAAGCCATGCTAAATCAATCATGCGGAAATTAAATTATATTACTATTAAACTTTTAGTTAAAATCAGTCAGTCTGTCAAACAATCGGTCTGTCAAAGTCCTTTGAACAACCATTGACCGACCGTTGATCAACCATGACCATCTTTAATTCTGAGATTCTGAATATGTAATGATTTTAAACTGTGGCTATCGGGATTATAGAACTGTCAGGTTTATGACATCAGGATTTTAGGCTATTGTAGATTGCAAGTTGGCCGAGAACGACTTCCTTTTTACTACAAAAGCTAATGCTTATATAGGCACATTTCTGAATAATGGATGGAACTTACCGATCTTTTATTACTAATCATGTAACTAGTTCACAAGATAATTTTAGAATTATTTTATTAGCATATGCACTAATGTCCAG